ACAGAGACAGAGACAGAGACAGAGACAAACGGAGGCAAAGAAGGCTGCCGAGAGACACAGACAGGCAGGGAAAGAAAGGCGGAGGGGAGACCATGATGAGACTGAGACCCATTAGAAAAAGGTGGGAGAAATCCAGGAAGGCTCTCTGGAGGTGGTGGTGGGAAGGAGGTGGGACAAAGGCCTGACCCTGACTGACAGGCAGGATCCACACCAGCCCTTCTTATCTCCCCCAACAATGGGGAAACTGAGCCCCCCACCCCAACCCCAGGCCCCGCCGCTCACCCACGAGGGACCTGTGTGTTACCTGCTTAAACATGGAAGAGGTAACAGGCCTCCTCTCCCTCCCCCGCCCCCACCCACGCCACGAAGAAAATCCCCGGCCCAAATAAGGCGAGGGCTGCTGTGGGAGGCGGTGAGTGAGTCGGCCCGCGGGAGCGAGTGGCGGCTGGCCCGGCAGTGGCCTGGGCTTGGGCCGCCTCCTCCGAGACTCGCCCGGCCCGGCCCGGCGGCAGGAGGAGGGCGGTGCACCGCCGGCTGCCCGCCCGGTTATAAGCGCCTCTCCCCTGCCCTCGGCCTCACTCGCTCAGCGCCACGGCCTCTGCAGCGCCCAGCCATGGAGGCCATCCGAAAGAAGATGCAGATGTTGAAGCTGGACAAGGAGAACGCCGTGGACCGCGCCGAGCAGGCCGAGGCGGACAGGAAGGCAGCCGAGGACAGATGCAAGCAGGTGAGGCGCCCGTGGCCTCGGCTGGGCGGTGCTGGGCTGCGCCAGGCAGGCCGGGCACCCTCTCTGTTTAGCTCTCCCTGGCCTGGGAAAGCGGCGGCGGTGGTGGTGGTGGTGGTGTGAGGTCACAGAGATCTGGGAGTGTGAGGGCTGGCATGGGGGCAGGGGGCCGAGGCTGTGGCCGAGCCAGATGAGGGGGCAGCTGGCTTCCTGAGAGGGCGTCCGGAGGCCGGGGCGGGGTGGCTGGACACAGCCCACAGGACCCTGTGTGTGTGTGTGTGTGTGTGTGCACGCGCACGGGGTAGACAGGGGGGTGACCGAGTGCCCATGCACAGGGCGTCCCCAGCTGTGACAGGAGCCGCCACCAAGCTCACACCAGCGACTGCCCAGAGAGGGTGGCTGTACCTGGGGGCGGGGTGGGGCGGCTGGGACCCCCTGCAGGGCCTGCTGGGGAGGGGGGCAAGGTCTGGAGGCAGGGATGGAAGCTATGGGGTAGCCTCAGATCTCATGGGTCCCGTGTCTGGGGTGCCTCTGCCGATGGGGTAGGGGGCAGTGGGTGGGGGCCACCCGGCAGGGCAGGGCTAACCCAGGAGGCCCTGGCTTCGAAGGAGCAGGGAGGAGCCCCCAGAGGGTCAGTGAGCAGAGGCTGGAGCTGAGCCAAGGCTGGGGGCACTGCCAGATGTCAGCGATCAAACGCCAGGCCCTAGGAGCCACAGGGGCTCCGGGAAGCGCCCCCCTCCCACCACCGTGGGGAGACACCCAGGACCGCGACACGGAGTCCCCTGCCCTGCCCAGTCCAGGCACCAGGCACCCTGGGACCCACGCCCTCAGCGCTCTGCCTTCTTGGTGGCCGCCTGTGTGACTTGGGGGAAGTGGCAGCTGTGTGACAGGTGACTGCGCAGGTGGAGCCCTTGGCCCCGCGCCTGGCTCAGAGTCATCGAGGAAGACTTCCTGCCCCGCCCTACTGGACTGGGGCCGCCCATCCCCCAGTGTTCCAGGGTTGCCCTAGCGGCCAACCTCACCCAGCACTGCCCACACAAACTCCTCCCTTCCCTGGCAAACACAGATGGGGCCCTGGCCTGCCAGCCTCCCCACGTCCCTGTGCCCTCATCGTGACGGCGTTTAGCCAGAGATTCAGTGGAAAGCAAAGTTTCGGCTCTAATTCTCACTAAAGGGTGAGTGACTGATAGGGCTCTGTTCTCTCCAGTGGTCTGGGACTCAACTTACCTAAAGTGCCTCGTGCTACAGGAGGCTGGAGATAGTGGGGACTGGGGCCAGCCTGACCCTGGGAGATACTGCAGCCAAGTCCCCATATGACCAGCGCCGTGTGGGAACAGGACCAAGGCCCAGCCTGGCCACTTCCTGCCCACTCCCCGCCCAGGTCAGAAGCATCCGCTGCTGTTGACCTTTGATCCCACATCCTGCCCCAGCCCTGTCCCTGCCTGGCCAATGTAGGCACAGGGAGGCTGAGGCCCCAGCGGGACTGTGTGGCTCGCTCACCAGCCCAGATCTCAATTTATGCCAGTCTTACTTAACTCCCTTCCCCCCCTCCCCGCCTCTGCAGGATTTGGGAGGGGGTCTTTGATTCACTCCACAAACATCCAGAAGGGTTAGCACGGGGGCGTCTGCTGACCCCAGCTTCCTGGGGGGCCCCAGCAGTGCCCTGGACCAGAGGAGAGAGACAGAAACAGAGCAAGCAGCAACAGGAGGGACAGAGGCCGGGCCTGGACCAGAGGCAGGCCCACAGCAGTGGGGGTGGGCGCTGGCTCTTGGCCCCCTCCCCGCAGCAGGTCGGGGGAGGGTGGGAGGTTGTACCACCTGCCGGCGGCCACACCAACTGGCTTTGCAATCCGTGTATGATTTAAGGATTCAAATTCCCCAGATGCGTGACCCTGGCAAAGTCGCTTCCCCTTTAAGGGCCTCAGTTTCCCCTTCTGTGACATGGACCTTCAATGAGGATGTCTAGAGCATGCCTGGGACCATCTATTGTTATTTTTTTAAAGATGTATTTATTTATTTGAAAGGTGGAGTTACAGAGAGGGAGAGGCAGACACACACACAGAGAAAGGGAGAGAACCGCTAAGCCAAATGCTCACCCCCATCCTACATATTTGCTAGCCCCCTGCCTTATTCCAGTCCACACCTGTTCTTGTCCAAACATTGCCCCCAAAGCTGTCAAAACTCCAAATCATCTCCCCGCCCCGATGAGCTCGACAGAGTCCGATTTGCTCCCACTCTGTGTTAGGAGAGCCCCCAGCTAGGGGATACAGTCAGCGCTCCATAAATGCTGCACTCTGCAGATCTGGAAGGGAGTCAGGGTGACCTGCAAAAAATCTTTATAGAAACAGACTCATTTATCTCCGTCAAGGCGGAAGCACAGCCCCCAGGGTGCTCACCCCTGCCGCCTCCAGGCTTCCATTCTGCAGATGGAGAAGCTGAGGCCAGAACAGGAACTGGGACCACATAGCCCAGACTCTGGGAGGCAAGGCTTCCCAGTCAGCCCCTGTAGACCCTGACCTTGGCAAGAGCTGTGGCGCCCCTCCCTGCCCCCACCCTGCAATTCAGCAATGGGACGTTCAGCAAGCCCTAGAGAGAAGTCAGATGACGCAGGGGGAGGGAGAGAGAGAGAGAGAGAGAGGAACAATCAAACACCCAAATGCCCACGACAGGTGGGGCAGGGCTGGGCCAGGTTGAAGCCAGAAGCCAGGAGCTCCACCCAGGTCTCCCACGTGGGTGGCGGGGGCCCAAGCACTTGAGCCAGCACCTGCTGCCTCCCAGGGTGTGCAGCAGTGCGGAGCTGGGGACTGGGAACCGGAGCTGGGGGCTGGACTTGCCTCTCCTTGTAAGACAGAGGGCTGCACCCCCTGACCTCGCCTAACCCTAACCACCTCCCAAAGTCCCACCCCAACTCCAATTCCCATCACATCGGAATTGGGGGTGGGGGGTGTTGGCTACAAGCATTTAGTCCCTAATGGGATTAAGTGCCCTGTGTGACCTGGGGCAAGTCACTGTCCCTCTCTGGGCGGCCTGCTGTGAGGAAGCAGAATAAGGCAGGGTCCCGTGATTGGGGGGGGGGGGGGGGCTTTGCCTACCCATCCAGGGAGCAGAGGTCAACCCAGAACTCAGGCCAGAGCAAGACCACCCCAGCCCAGGGCCTGGGGGCCAGGGGCCGCAGGAGGGGTCCAAGGAGAGGTTACAGGAGCTTCGTAGACCAGGGCTGCACACAAGCCAGAAGTACAGAAACTCTGTACCCCCAGTCTTCAAGGAAAGCAGTCCCTGAGGAGTCCAGGTCTCTGTTAGAAGTCGGGCAGGGGCCAGCGCCGCGGCTCAACAGGCTAATCCTCCACCTAGCGGCGCCGGCACACCGGGTTCTAGTCCCGGTAGGGGCGCCGGATTCTGTCCCGGTTGCCCCTCTTCCAGGTCAGCTCTCTGCTGTGGCCAGGGAGTGCAGTGGAGGATGGCCCTAGTGCTTGGGCCCTGCACCCCATGGGAGACCAGGAGAAGTACCTGGCTCCTGCCATCGGATCAGCGCGGTGCGCCGGCCCCAGCACGCCGGCCGCGGCGGCCATTGGAGGGTGAACCAACGGCAAAGGAAGACCTTTCACTCTGTCTCTCTCTCTCACTGTCCACTCTGCCTGTCAAAAAAAAAAAAAAAAAAAGTCGGGCAGGAGGGAGGCAGCAGGTATGAAGTTGGTGGGCCAGTCTGAGAGGCCTGGCCTCGCGCAATGGGGAGCCACAGCAGGTTGTAGGAGGAGGGAGGGCAGAGTGTCCCTGGGCACTTGTATGAGCGAGAAAGGCTGAGCATGGGGAAGAGGCTGGGGTGTCCAGGCCTCGAGAAATGAGCCCCGTCTTTGCGCTGAACCCCCCTCCACCTGGGCGGAGTTGGGGAGTGGGGGTGACGTCCCCGCTGTGTGTGTCTCCTGCAAAAGGGGGATCGTAGATTCGCCAAGAAGGGCCACACAGCCGGAGCCTCAGGACCCGGTGATACAGACGGGGAAACTGAGGCCCAGAGAGAGAAAGGGCGGCTGTTGGGGGGAGTGTCACTAGGCTGATGCACCCCCCACACACACACCCGCACCCGCTGTGCCCCAGGTGGAAGAGGAGCTGGCGCATCTGCAGAAGAAGCTGAAAGGCGCGGAGGACGAGCTGGACAAGCACTGTGAGGAGCTCAGGGACGCGCAGGAGAAACTGGACCTGAGCGAGAAGAAGGCCTCCGACGTGCGTGTGCGGTAGCCCGGCGCCCGCAGGGCCGGCCAGGCGGGAAGCGCCCGGGGTGGGGAACGCGAGGAGGCAGCGGCGCGCGGGGGGCGGCGCCTCCCGGCGCTTTCTCCAAATAAGTCCCGAAAAGGGGCCCTTTCCAGCGGCGGCGGCCAGCGGTGCCCACGTCAGACCCTCCCCCAGCGGTGCTGACGTCGGCCGCCCGGCCCGGTGACCTCATCGCCCCAGTCGGCGGGCGGCCCGGCCCGGGGGGCGGGGAGAGGCGGGGGCGGCCCCGGCGGCGCAGGCAAAGGCTCGCGGGGCCGGGGCGCGGCTGCTGCAGCTCTCGCCGGAGCCGGACCGAGCCCAGCCCAGCCCAGCCGAGCGCCCCGCTGCGTGCGCTCCGCGCCTCCGCGCCATGGCCGGCCTCAACTCGCTGGAGGCGGTGAAACGCAAGATCCAGGCCCTGCAGCAGCAGGCGGACGAGGCGGAGGACCGCGCGCAGGGCCTACAGCGGGAGCTGGACGGCGAGCGCGAGCGGCGCGAGAAAGTGAGAGCCCCTCCCGGCCCCGCGCGCCCCGGCCCCGCGCCCTCCTTTCTTCCCCCGGTGCCGGCGCCGCGCGCGCGCGCGCTCCCCGCCCGCCGCTGCCGCCGACCTCACCGCACCCCCCGCCCCTGGTAGTGGCCCCCTCCCCCCGCCCCGGCGCCCTGCAGTGTCCCGGATCGCAGATCTGCACACCCCCCATCCCCCAGACCCACGGCCGATCCTGCGTTCCCGCGCCGCCATCCTCGCGCAGGGGCCTGGGACGGGGGAGGGGGCGCCGCATCCGGGTCGGGCGGGGCTGGCCGAGCGGGAAATGGGGGGGATGGGGCGCCGGGGGTTCGCGATCCCCCCTGGGTGGAGAGGCGGGAAGGGTGTGGGGAGGCGGCGCACGGGGCGCGCGCTTGGCTGGGGACCCCGGGCCTGGGGGATGGCGGAGGCCCCGGCCGCCGGACCTCCAGGCGGGGAGCGAGGCTGGACGCGGCGAGCGGTTCCCATTGTCTGGGGTTGGCCCGGCCCGGGGCGACTTGGGGCGGGGGCGTCGCACGTTCTCTCGGCTTCCCGGCTTCGCCCACCCAGCCGGTTCCACCGGGCGCGGCGGCAACGCGGAAGTCCTGCCCGCAGCCGCCTGCCAGCCGGCCTTACTCCCTCCAGCTGGCCCCTGCGGGAACGGGGCCCGCGGGACCTCCGCCTTCCTGCAGAGCGTTCTCCTGGGAGGTTCGTGCGGGGGTCGTTTGAGCGCCTACTGTTTACCTCTGGTGCGCGCCGCGGAAAACTAGGTCTGAAAGGAGGGAACCTCTCCAGCCCCCCCCCCACCTCCATCCCCTGACCCTCCCTTCCTGGGAGGGGGCTGGGACAGCCGCGGGTGTTAACCGCATCTCCTACTGGTGCTTAACCTCGGGGAGTGCGCCTCCCCGCGTGCAGTGCGGCATACAGTAGGTGCTCACTTTGTGCCTTACTCTCTGCCCTCCACTATGGGAAAGGAGGCCAGAGGGGGCCGATAGAGCAGACTGATAAAGGAAGTTTGGCTGGGACTACAGACCCTGGGTGCAAAGACAGAGAGGCAAGAAAAGTTGTGGGGGACCCCCCTTCTCTCGCCTGGGGTCGCAGTCTGGGTCGGGGGCGACTCGGGGAGTTGAGAGAAGCTGCCACATGGCCCTGGCCGGGTGTAGGTCTGCACAGTGTCCTGGCCAGAGCCGCTTCAGCATTGGCCCGGGTGGCCGGGGTGGCCGGGGTTTAATTCTATAAATGCCGCTTTGGCTGGAAGACGCAGCAGAATCCGGCTGGGAGCCACCAACAGTAGCTGCTCTGGCTGCTCTCGTAGGCCTGACCCTCCCTCTGAGCTCATCGGGGCATCTCGCTGGGGGACAATTACTGTGGCCTCAGAGTGGCCCTCCTTGGGGAGCCAGGATTCCTGGAGTTGGGACAGGCAGGGGGAAGAGAGCCGAGCGATTTTATTTTATCTTTTGGGAAAGTGAAGGGCTCTTCTACAGAGCCTGTTTCCCTCTGTGGGTCAGGAGAATCCAGAAGGAAAAAAAAAAATCCACTCTGTGTCCGTCTGGTGGAGAAAGCCAGGCGGGTGGCAGAGTTCTGGGCCCGCCTCCCAACAGCTGGTTTCGGTTAGATTTTTGTGTGTGATTAACCGACATCTTCCTGTTCCTTTGCCACATGCATGCTGCAAGCCTCTTTTACCTTATAAGGAAAATCCTTTGTAGCCTGTGGAAGGCTTTGATTGCAGGAAGGGGTGGAGTCCCCAGATGACTACCAAGTATCTGGGTGTGCAGTGTGCCCGCCACAGACGCGGCCACTTCCAAAAGTTAGCGGAGAATGGGGTCGAAATCTTAGTGTATTCTGGGAGGGGAAAAAAAATTGGAAATCCATCCATGAATGTTTGGAAGATCCACTTCTACGTGTGAATTTTTTTAGAGTTCTTTTGCGCCAAGATAAATTTATTTTTTGAGAGGCAGAGAGAGAGAGCTCCCACCAGCTACTTGATTCTGCAGATGCTTGCAACAGCTGGAGCTGGGTGAGGCAGAAGCCAGGCGCTTAGGAACGGAATGCAATCCAGGTCTCCCATGTGGGTGGCAGGGCCCCAAGTACTTGGGTCATCACCTGCTGCTTTCCCAGGCGCATTAGCAGGGAGCTGGATCAGAAGTGTGGAGTAGCCAGGACTCCAATATGGGGTGCAGATGGCCCAAGCGACGCCACCACCAGCTGCACCGATTATTTTATTGTCCTGGTGCCTTTGCTGCCTCCCTGGATTCAGTCCCATTTGACTAGGTCTTAAGGGCCCTACAGGGGCAGATAAGGGAAGAACCTGGCTTGGGGCTCAGGAAGTCATTCCTCACCAGCTGTGAGTCACTGAGCCCTTGAGGGTTCCCATCTATAAAATGGGTATGAAGTTTCAAATGAGGTCAAACTTTGAGAGCAAGAACGGCCCTTCTCTGGTCTTTACTGCCCCTCTCTCCCCCCAGCCAGGGGCCAGCTATGCCTTGCAGCCCTCTCAGCCCTTGGGGGAGGAGTCAGGCTGTGGGCTATCAGTGTCACGTGGCCACAAAAGTGGCAAAGCCAGGATTCTGACGCAGCACTTTGTGACTTTTGGATTTCCTGCTTTTTCACACAGCCCTGGATTTCCTCCTTCATAGGGGAAAACACTCTGGAAAAAGCTCCGAGCACTCTTTGTCAGCAAGTTTGCTTCCCTTCCTCACACCTTATTGGTTATTATGGTAGAGAAAATTTATTTCATTTACTTAAACGGCAGAGTGACAGATCTTCCACTCTGAGGGTTGGTTCATTCCCCCTGAAAGGGCTGAGATGGGAGGGGCTGGGAGCCAGGAGCTCCATCCGGGTCTCCCACGCAGGTGCAGGGGCCCAAGGACTTGGGTCATCTTCTGCTGCTTTGCACATTAGCAGGGAGCTGGATTGGAAGCAGAGCAGCCAGGATTGGAACTGGTGCCCAAATAGGATGCCGGGGATCGAGACAGCTTAACCCACTGCACCACACGTGATACCTTATCATTGTCCCATCTCGTCTTCAGCCAGACCTCGCAAAATGTCCCAGCTGGCTGCCCCTGCCCAGCCAGCTCATCCTGTGGCCAGCATGCCTGTTCTTGGACTTATCTTGCCATTGTCCCGGGACATGCCATCCGATGCTGAGGTCGGATCTGTTGTCTCCAAGCCAAGGGCACACTTGGCTTGTCTTGCTTCTTTTTAGCATCACTCTTTGAATTGACACAAACTAACTGTAACAAATTTGTCTCTTACCCTCTGCTGGGTGGGGTATGCCACCTGTTCTGCAGACGAGAGAGTGGATTCCTTAGGGGCCGGGCTTAGCTGAGGAGGTGTAGAGGGGTGGATTTTCCTTCTTAACACTGCATCCGGGTCCTCTCCCCCAGGCTGAGGGCGATGTGGCAGCTCTAAATCGGCGCATCCAGCTCGTGGAGGAGGAGTTGGACAGAGCTCAGGAGCGGCTGGCCACCGCCCTGCAGAAACTGGAAGAGGCGGAGAAGGCTGCAGATGAGAGCGAGAGGTGAGAGCGCCTTGACCTTGACCTTGGCAGCGGCTGGCAAGTGGGGAGAGCACCACCCGCCTCCTGGGCAGTGGGGGAAGGGCTTGTCCACGGGGAGGGTACCTCAGGAAGTTCCCTGGGACAATGGAATGGAAAGATGTTTATTTTGGGGCTGAAAAATGTTTTCAGTGATGGGTGTTTGGCCTGGTGGTTAAGGCAACCGAGGAATCAAAGAGCCTGGGGTTTTGACCCCTGGCTCCGCCCCTGGCCCCGGCTCCCTGCTGGTGCACAGCCTGGGAGGCAGCAATGAGAACTCAAGTGCCTAGGTGCCCGCCGTCCACGCGTGGGAGACCCGGATGGAGTTCCCGGCCCCTGGCTTCAGTCTCAGCCCTACCCTGGTTGTTGGAGGCATTTGGGGATTAAACCAGGCAATGGGCTTTCTCTTTCTCTCTGCCTCGCAAAGAAATAAAAATGTTTTAAAAAATTTAATTCATACATAGTTTTTCGATAATAGGCCTTTCTCATGAATTTTTGAAGATTACCTCTATGCATGGGCTTTGAAATTTTATATACAAAGGCCAGCGCCGTGGTTCTCTTGGCTAATCCTCCGCCTGTGGTGCTGCCACCCCGGGTCCTAGTCCCAGTTGGGGTACCGGATTCTGTCCCGGTTGCCCCTCTTCCAGGCCAGCTCTCTGCTGTGGCCTGGGAGGGCAGTGGAGGATGGCCCAAGTGCTTGGACCCCTGCACCTGCATGGGAGACCAGGAGGAAGCACCTGGCTCCTGGCTTCAGATCGGCACAGCGCTCCAGCCGTAGTGGCCATTTAGGGGGTAAACCAATGGAAGGAAGACCTTTCTGTCTCTCTCTCTAACTATGCCTGTCCAAAAATAAATAAATAAATAAGAAAAGAAATTTTATACACAAAGATGAGATTATCTTTTAATTCCATTTTCTACTTCTTTTTTAAAAAAAAAAGTTTATTTGATTTATTTGAAAGGCAGAGTTACAGAGAGGGAGATCTTCCATCTGCTGGTTCATTCCCCACATGGACACAACAGCTGGAGCTGGGCCAGGCTGAAGCCAGGAGACAGGAGCTTCCTCTAGGTCTCCCACGTGGGTGCAGGGGCCCAAGTACTGGGCCATCTTCCACTGCTTTCCCAGGCCACAGCAGAGAGCTGGACCGGAAGAGGAGCAGCCAGGACTCGAACCAGCACCCACATGGGATGCCGGTGTCACAGGTGGCGGCTTTTTGCTGCGCCACAGCTCCGGCCCCTTCTGCTAACTTATTAATGGACCCTGGTACATACACATGTGTGGCCGTGCTTTGAAAACTGTCACGCTATTGGTAGAGAAAGTCGATCATCATGGTGGTCATGAAGACACACTTCCAATAGGCCGGGAAAGGCAAAAGAGAGGAAATAAAAACTGGAGTGGTGGCCAGCACCGTGGCTCAATAGGCTAACCCTCTGCCTGCAGCGCCGGCACACCGAGTTCTAGTCCCGGTCGGGGCGCCAGATTCTGTCCTGGTTGCTCCTCTTCCTGTCCAGCTCTGTGCTGTGGCCCGAGAGTGCAGTGGAGGATGGCCCAAGTACTTGGGCCTTGCACCCGCATGGGAGACCAGGAAAAGCACCTGGCTCTTGGCTTCGGATCAGCGCAGTGCACTGGCCACAGCGCGCTGGCCGCAGCAGCCATTAAGGGGTGAACCAATGGAAAAGGAAGACCTTTCTCTCTGTCTCTCTCTCTCTCACTGTCCACTCTGCCTGTCAAAAAAAAAAAAAAAAAACCTGGAATGGGCTGTGTGCACTGATGATGGACAGGCCATGTGCACAGGTGATCAGTGGGCCGTGTGCACTGATGATTGTCCATGATGCCATCAGGGAGGCTTCAGGCTCTTGGCTGGTGACAACAGAATGCACTAACCCTTGTGTCTGTAGTGTACTCACCACTGGCAGTGTAGCCCCCCGGGGCGCTCATGCTGTGTTGAGGGCTTCTAGTGGGCTGCCCTGTCATTTTTTAAAAAAATGTATTTATTTATTTACTTGAAAGTCAGAGTTACACAGGGTAGGGGGTCTTCCATCCACTGGTTCACTCCTCGATTGGCCGCAACAGCTGGTGCTGTGTAAATCCAAAGTCAGGAGCCAGGAGCTTCTTCCAGGTCTCCCACGTGGGTGCAGGGGCTCAAGGACTTGGGCCATCTTCCACTGCTTTCCCAGGCCACAGCAGAGAACTGGATCGGAAATGGAGCAGCTGGGACTCGAACCGGTGTCCATATGGGATGCTGGCACTGCAGGCAGCGGCTTTACCCGCTACACCACCGCTCCGGCCCCTGCCCTGGCTGTTAGAACAGGCTTGCTCTCTGTCATGCCTTGCTCAGCAGGACTGAGGGTGGATTGTATGAAGTCCCACAAGCAGTGGCCTCTGTGTGCTAGTAAATGGGTTCGTTGTGAGGTGATGGAGTGGGCTGGGCCAGTGGTCCTTATGTAGCTGCCACACATCAGGTTGTCACTTGATCCATCCCCTGTGCTGTTTCCAACATAGACTCCTTCAGAAGTACTCAATGCTGGTTTTTTTCTTCAAGATTCATTGTATTTATTTGAAAGACAGAGTTAGAGAGAAAGAGAGAGATCTTTCATCTGCTGGTTCACTCCCCAGATGGCTGCAATGGCCAAGACTTGGCCAGGCCAAAGCCAGGAGCCTGAAGCTTCCTCTGGGTCTCCCACGCAGGTGCAGAGGCCCAAGCACTTGGGCCATTTTGCTTCCACTGCTTTCCCAGGCCATCAGCAGGGAACTGGATCAGAAGTGGAGCAGCCAAGACTCGAACTGGTGCCCATATGGGATGTGGGCACCACAGGCAGAGGCTTAGCCTACTATGCCATAGTGTTGGCCTGTCACTCATTTCTTGGCCCATCAGCTGAGTCGTAGCACAAGGCCAGCTGTGCCCGCTTTCCCAAATTGCCATGACAACTTCAGTTCTGCCCTTCTCTGCACCCTCACCTGGTCGGTATGGGTGGGTCATGTGTCCCTTCTCCGAGAATGCTTGGGACCAGAAAAGCTTTGGATCTGGGTTTCCAATGACTTTGAGATTCTGGAATATCTGCATAGACCTGAGATATCTCGGCGGAGTGCGGGACCCAAGCTTGAACCTGAAATCCATTTTACGTTCCAAGTACACCTGTGGTCCATAGCTTGAAGGCCATGTTAGACAAGCCTTTTTGGGCCACCTGTGTTCTGAGTGCAACCCGTTATTTCATGAGATCAGGGGTGGAATTCTCTCTTTGTGGCATCGGGTCACTGCTCAGAAAGCATCGGATTGGGGCCGGTGCTGTGGCATAGAGGGTAAAGGCGCCGCCTGCAGTGCCGGCATCCCATATGGGCGCGGGTTCGAATCCTAGCTGCTCCACTTCTGATCCAGCTCTGTGCTGTGGCCTGGGAAAGCAGTGGAAGATGGCCCAAGTACTTGGGCCCCTGTACCCGCATGGGAGACTCGGAATAAGCTCCTGGCTTTGGATTGGCCCAGCTCTGGCCGCTGTGACCATTTGGAGAGTGACCCGGTGGATGGAAAACCTCTCCCTTTCTCTCTCTGTCTTTTAACTCTGCCTCTCAAATAAATGAAACCTTAAAAAATAGAAAAAGCAAGCTTCGGATTGGGGGATTCTTTCTCAGAGCAGGGACGCTCAGCCTTGCACCTGCTGCTCACCTGGGGCTTCCTGCCGTAGCTCATCCTGGTTCCCACACACTGCTGTATAGGGAACCCTTCCAGTGGGAGCGGCTCCCTGCAGCTCCCATCCGGTTCCAGAATGTACCATTACGGCTCTGAGAGCGGTGCCCAGCACTCGGTTCCCATGGGTGGGCTGTGAACCGGGTGGCAGCGGCTGGCGGTGGGGAGGGGCGGGATGAGACCTATGGAGGCTCCCTGGTTGTCGGCCAGGCCTCCCTCGTGCTGCTCATGGCGGAGGGGCGGGCGCGGATGGCGGTCGTTGACGGGCATGTGCCTTGTGGGGGTGTGCGGGGTTGCCTCTTTGCAGGGGAATGAAGGTGATCGAAAACCGGGCCATGAAAGATGAGGAGAAGATGGAAATCCAAGAGATGCAACTAAAAGAAGCCAAGCACATTGCGGAGGAGGCGGACCGCAAGTACGAGGAGGTGAGTGAGCGGCGGCGGCAGCGGCCGGGAGGAAGCTCCTGGTGGGTCCTTCTGTGGGCTCTGGCGTCCTGGGATGCTGGGGATGCCCCTAACTCGCTTCTGTCCTTTCGCTGGGTGTTCTGGAACAATCTAGAAAGCATGCAAGATGCTGATACCCCCAGCCCTTTCTTTCTTCCTTTTCTTGTGTGCGCCCCCCCACCCCACCCCGGGGACTGAGAGTGAGTAGAATGGGGCCCGGTGCATGCTGGGGGAGAGCTGGGTCAGCTGCAGGGGGCGGCCTTTTTTTTTTATTTTTCCTCTCTCCGTGCACAGGTAGCCCGGAAGTTGGTCATCCTGGAAGGCGAGCTGGAAAGGGCGGAAGAGCGAGCCGAGGTGTCTGAGCTGTGAGTCCCAGGGCGGGCCCCCAGGGGTCTGGCCCAGCCACTGAGTGGCTTCTGTTGGGAATGGGCTCTGTGCTCAGGTGGGCTGGGGTGGGGGACAGTGCAGGGAGGGACCTCCGGGACTTGGCGGCTCAGCAGACTGGGAAGCATTGCCCACATGTTCACAGAGCTCACTGGGCGGGCGGGAGGAAGCTCTCGGTCCTTTTTTCCCAGAGAGGCTATCCCAAGGAGACTGCCCCGCCCCCCACCCCCACTCCCACCCATCCTTGTTTAAATTCTTGGCTGCTGATGTCAGTATTTGGCAGTGATAACATTCCTGAGGTGGGGGAGCTGAGCATCCTATAAGTTCCAGCAGACAAAAAATATGTATATATATTGATAAAATAAATGCCTCTCTCCTGGGGATGAGGAATCCCAGCTCCCCTCTCTCTCTCTCTCTCCCTCTCTCTCCCCCCACCCCCTCGTTCTTAACCCCTTCCGGAGCCTGCCTCATCCAGCCTGGATTTCACAATCTTGCTTCAGCCCTTGGCGGAAGCCCAGGGGCTGCTTAGCAAACCCTCCACAGAACTCCTGGGCCTGCCGGGGGTGATGGGGCTTTGATAATAACTACACAGTCCTAGGGGTCAGAAAAAAATTAGAAAATCCTTTTTTTCCCCCTGCATTCCTTCCAGAAGCCCCCAGGGCAATGTGGGTTTCGCCTTTTGAAACTTTTCTTTGTAGGGGAGAATTGCCTGCTGTCAGGGAGGATGAGATACCAAAATTAAAATAAAATTTTTCTTGGGCAGAAAATGTGGCGATCTTGAAGAAGAGCTCAAGAATGTCACCAATAATCTGAAGTCGCTGGAGGCCGCCTCTGAGAAGGTTGGTGACTGCCCAGGGGCCCTGGGTGAGGTTTGCGGGAGTTGGTGCCTTTTGCACTCGCCAAAGTGCATGGGGAACTGGGTTCTGAATGGAGGCCCCACACATGCGCCTCATCTCCAGGTGCCTATGGAAACGCCATCTCATCATCTTGGCTGGTCCCCGGCTCAGTTCTCAAAGTGCCTTCTTCACCTGTTTCATGGTTGCCCTGGGAAGGAGGCACCTTGCCCATTTTATGGAGGGACAAACTGAGGCAGAGAGAGGCGAGGAACAGCAGGTGTTGGAAGTGGGATTGGCTTTTCTGTGGCACCCTTAGTTCATTGTTAAAGTAGGATTATTTTTAAAGATTTATTTATTTGAGAGATAGAGTTACAGAACCGAGAGAGAGAGAGAGCGAGGTCTTCCATCTATTGGTTCACTCCCCAAAATGGCCACAATGGCCAGGACTGGGCCAGGTCAAAGCTAGGAGCCAGGAGCTTCTTCCGGGTCTCCCACGCAGGTGCAGGGGCCCAAGGACTTGGGCCATCTTCTACTGATTTCCCAGGCCACAGCAGAGAGCTGGATCGGAAGTGGAGCAGCTGGAACTTGAACCGGCGCTCACGTGGGATGCCCGCACTGCAGGCAGTGGCTTCACCAGCTATGCCACGGCGCTGGCCCCCAAAGAATCTTATACACCCCTTTCTTCTAGGAATAGGGAACCTCCCTTCTTAGATGCTTTTTTTCCCCCCTGCTTCTTTTTAAAAGCCAGTATTTTGGTTTCTCCCATAGTATTCTGAAAAGGAAGATAAATACGAAGAAGAAATTAAACTTCTGTCCGACAAGCTGAAAGAGGTGAGCTCAGGGGCTGGCCAGCCGCTGGTTCCAAGCCTCTCCCGGGGATGGCTCTAGAATAATGGGTATGGACTCTGTCTTCTTCCACAGGCCGAGACACGCGCGGAATTTGCAGAGAGAACGGTCGCCAAACTGGAAAAGACCATCGATGACCTGGAAGGTAGGGATGGACCAGCTCAAAGTTGCCATGCCTCCCTCCCTGCCCCGGCTGACAGAGCCACGGGGAGCTGGCCGAGCTCCCCTTGGGTCTGTGGGTCTGTGGCCCGGGTTGAGCTGGGCTTTTGTTTGCCTGGAAAAAATCAAGTGCACAAGGAGGAAGTCTTTAGAATTTTCTGCGGGTTGCTTATTTTTCAGAGATGCTTTGCATTTTTGGTATTTTTTTTTAAATGCCTGGCATTTTTATAGAGAGTTCTCTCCCAGAGAGCTCCAAGCTTATCACAATCTGAGAAAACAAGAAAAAAAAACCTAGAGAATGTAGTGACTTCCAGAAAGACTCTATCCGATCTGCGAGCCTGGTGCCCACGTAGCTGGGAATTTCTCAAAGAGTTCCAATTTGTAAAAATCTCCGTCCGCGAGATAGCCAGAGGAGATGGGGAGGGGGGTGCCGGGGGAGGATTCGAGAATCATGGGGTTCCCACGACATTTCACAGTCTCCTCATCAGGAAAGGAGACAAAGCTCACCCCTCAGATCCTGCGCTCCAGTGTTTGATTTGGGGAATGAGGCTTCCATATAAGGGAAAATGCCCCAGTCTGGAGTCTAACCTTTGGACGGGGTGACGTCATTGGAAATCAGAGCTAATTACCCAGGAGCAAGGGTTGGTGGGAAATGCTGTGTCCCTCTCAGGTCACCCTTGCAAAGGTTCGCTGTGGCTGAGTGCCCTGTGGAGATCTTCTGTGGTGGCTTTTTTTTTTTTAAATAATGTGTATTACCTAGTGCATGACTTGCTCCTAGTTCATGCTGTATTGTTGCCTCTTCTTTCTTTTCCTTTTTTTTTTTTTAAAGATTTATTTATTAATTTGAAAGGCAGAGTTACAGAGAGAGATAGAGAGAGAGGTATTCCATACGCTGGTTCACTCCCCAAATGGCTGCCAATGGCCAGAGCAAGGCCAATCCGAAGCCAGGAGCCAGGAGCTTCTTCCAGGTCTCCCACTCAGGTGCAGGGGCCCAAGGACTTGGGCCATCTTCTACTGCTTTCCCAGGCCATAGCAGGGAGCTGGATGGGAAGTGGAGCAGCCAGGACTCGAACCAGCACCCATATGGGATGCTGGCACTGCAGGTGGCAGCTTTACCTGCTACGCCACAGTGCTGGCCTCTTCCCTTGTTTCTGTCTTCCTCTCCTCACTCATCCACAACACTCCATTCCGACCACCTCGTGTTCTATCCCCTGTACCTCTTTCTCCTAAAGCTTTCTTCCTCCACCCTATGGATGAGCTCTGCACAAGGAAGTTCAAGTTCAAGGCTCTCAGCCAGGTGCTGGACCATGCTCTCCGTGATATAAGCTATCCATCTCTGAAAAGGCAGCTAGGGTGCCCAAGCTGTGTGCCCTTGACCATGGCTGAAACCAAAACGTGGGCGCTTCGGCTTTTCTCACTCCCAAAATGCTTTGCCAAAGCCGTGAAAGACGACAGCCAACTTGGCCGTGAGCTCGCCTCACTTAGCTAGCTGCAATCTGCGTGCCAATAGTTTTTCCTTAAATAGCAATTGGTTTTGAATGGAGCCTGATCCCCATAAACCTCTTTGGCAGCTTCAAAAGAAATCGGCAGAACTTGCAAAAGCCAGCAGGCCTGGGTTTAACAGGAGCCTGCGCTTGAATGGGATTGGAGCTACGAATTCTCACGGCCGTCTTGGTCTCTTTTGTTCTGTTAACGCTCAGAAGGGGGACTTGGAGTTCCCTGTGTCTTCACTCCTTCATGGGAACCTTCATGAAGCTCCTAGTCCTGGGAGAGAGTTCACCTCCATACCCTCTGCCCTTAAGGATTTATTTATTTGAGAGGCAGAATTACAGACAGAGGGAGAGAGAGAGAGAGAGAGAGAGAGAGAGAGAGAGGTCTTCCATCTGCTGGTTCACTCCCCAGATGGCCACAACAGCCAGAGCTGTGCCGACCTGAAGCCAGGAGCTTCTTCTGGGTCTCCCATGCAGGTGCAGGGACCCAAGGACTTGAGCCATCTTCCACTGCTTTCCCAGGCCAGAGCAGAGAGCTAGATTGGAAGTGGAGCAGTCAGGACTAGAACCGGCACCCATGTGGGATGCCAGCACTGCAGGTGGAAGCTTAGCTGGCTGTGCCACAGGGCCAGCTCCTGGAAATGACTTTTGATCCAAGCCACATCTGCCAGACGTGAAAATCTCCAATTAGATCATTCATCTGGAACACTAGCTTGTCTTGCCTCATCCTATACTTTTGTAATTCAGGTGGGAACCTCTGTCTCAATTCTTCTTTATGCTCATTCCTCCAAAAATACAGCTGCCTAAACTGCCCACACCTTTGCACCTGCCCCTTCATCCTGTTCTAACTGCCTTCCAACCTGAACATTGGCATCAACTGTTGGCCTCATGTACTGGCATACGTATGTCCCACCCCTGGAGAAGGGAGGCTGTGGGGGTGGTGGGAGGAGTTGTTTGGTTTGCTCTGTGTATCTGTCCCTGGGATTTTTTCCAGAAATTTGCCACCTCCGCCCTTTGAAATGACTCCACAGCCCGGCCTATCCAGTTATGCTACCTAAGCGCTTAAGCAGGTCTTCATTGACAAAGATTGGTGTTAATGGAGCTTTCCTGCCAGTTTAGAGTTTATGTTCTGATTCTCCAGGGTAAAAAAAAAAAAAAAAATCCACCTTTCAAGGGAAAGGTCTTTCCCTCTCAAGACCTATCAACAAAATAGACACCAGAGAAGCCAGGTGTCAAGGTGAAGTGCAGTCAGGCTGTGTAGACAAAAGGACATCTGAGTTTCAGTGCTGCCTAGCTCTCTAACACAGTTCACTGTGCAACCTTGAACGATACTATGTAGCTTCTCTGCAAAACAAAGGTGAAGCTGCAAGTTATTGGAAGGATCCAATGAGCTCATGGAGAAATTGGCTCTCACTGTAGGGGGCATTCACTTAACACCTGTTCATCCAGGCTAGGTGGGTGGATGGATTCTCTGATGGAATCCTTCCAGGTCAGGGTCTCAATGCCTTGTCAAATGAATAGTAGAAATAGTAGAAAGGCAGCCATCTTTTGCACTTTTTTTTTTTTTTTTTTGCTTTCTGAAAATTTCCAGGCTGACCATATCACCTTTTATGAGGCTCTTTGCTTTCCTCCAGTATTTTAACAAGTGCTGGCCTTGCCCCTTAGCTGTCCCCACTCACTGCAAACCAGTTCTGCCTCCTGCTCCGCCATGCATTGCTTTCAGTGGCATCTTGTTTGTGGTGGTGGTGGTGGTGGTTCATTTCATGAGTCCCATCACTTCAGAGTGTGTCTGTAGTCTGGCTTAAAGTTCAGTCTTGTTGCATTTACCCTGGGGCTGACTGCCTTGCTGTGGAGCCAAGACACATTAACACAATTATGCCTGGAATTTAAACAGGCATTCCCAGGACCTCCAAAGGAAGCATGGGTTGCAGGATTGTGTTTGCTTACCCATGGCTTGGCTCTCGGAGACTAATTCACAGGTCCTGGGAAGAAGTGTATTGAATTAGTTTTATCTAACGTGGAAATCTTAGGTGCTGAAGCAGTTTCCATGGGTTCTTCATAATCCCATACCACACTGATACTGTGGACCCCATTTGACAGGTGGAGAAACTTGAGACCCAGAAAGGGTCAATGGCTTATTTCAGTGATACACCTGGGGCATAAATTCAGGTGCCCTGTAACTGGAGGTTTGCCATATTTCGCAAACAAAAATAACAGGATGTTATGTAAAATTTGAATTTCAGGTAGGGAGTGAGTCATTTCTTTTGGCATAAGTACATCTCAAGCAACAGTTGGGATAGACTTTACATACGAAAGTATTATTTGTGGCTTATCTGAAATTCAGTTTAACTAGACAGCCTGTATTTTACCTTACAATCCTGACCCTCCAATTTGGGATCTGATCCCTGTTATTCCGTGGTGTTCTGCTATACTTCCAATGAAAAGGACTTTTCTCTGCCATCATTTGTTTTCCTTGAACGTAGATGCTTATTAACTTATTTTTACCCCCCTCTCAATCCTCACCAGAAAAACTCGCCCAGGCAAAAGAAGAGAACGTGGGCTTACATCAGACACTGGACCAGACGCTAAACGAACTTAACTGTATATAACCCAAACCGAAGAGCCTCGTGCCAGCAGAGACCACAGGGTTCCACGTGTTTGTCTTCTCTTGTAAGACATTCCTATTGTTATTGCATCTTTGCTTTGCTGGATATGTCAAGCCAATTAAGAATACGTGACCAAATATTTTATATATCAGAGAAGCTTTGAGCACCAGTTCAATCCAATGCCTTCCTTTTTTTTTTTTTTTTCTTCCAAATGGCACCAGCTTTTTCAGCTCTATTTTTAGCCTGAAGTTGCATGTATTCCTAAGATAGGCAGGGTATTTCCTACCAAGCATCCTCTCTAAAAGACTGAGAGCATTTGGTTCCTGGGCAAATAGACAACCCCCCTCCCCCCGATTTTTTGAGAACACAGACTCTACATAATCTGTCTAGTCATGGGTTGATTTAAAATGCTGGACCCCTGTTGTGAGACCACAGGAAGCTGGTGACTGTCACATTAAAATGGGTGGGGATTTTCCATCCAGAGCAGGGGGGAAAAAAAAGGGCTATTGTGGGAAGTCATAAACCACAGATCAACCTAATCGCTCTGGCCCTTCTCCACACTCCACTGTGCAGAAATAACATTCTCTGAGCAGCCAGCATGAGAGTGCTTGGGGAGTGGTCACCATAATTTCCCAAGGATTTTCTGGATAGTTCCTTGAGGTTATGCTTTTCTCCTAGTTATCCTTCTCTGAGGAGCAGGTGCCTTGTGCCAACGATGACCCATGTTTGTCTGCCATGAGTATGAAGTTCAGTCCTGTTCAGGTCAGCCATATCAGAAGGCTGCTCATCACCAATAAACTGAGCGAGTTTTTTTTTTTTTTTTTTTTTTTTTTTTTTTCCTGTTAACACAGTATTAGGCAGAAGAGGCCTGTCTGGTAGCCAGAAAAGTTACTGGCTTCATGTCATCTCCATACTTGAGGGAATTGCAAAGTGAGGATTTTCTGAATCTAGGACTTTGGAATTCCTTCTTCAGGACCAAGTTAATAAAAAGACCAAGAAACTCCTGATTAAACTGGATATGGAGTATTTGGTAGACAGCAGCTGCACATTTTCACTTTCTTACATTTCTGCTTTATCGGTTAACATCTCAGAGCTGAAACATTCCATATTCTCCGACAGTGTGGGGGCCAATTCAAGTTTACAATTCTGACTAAAAAGCACCCTGCTTCTAGCTTACCTGAACCCCTTGCCCTTCACTTCTATTTATTATTAAGCATCACACTACCCAGGAGATACACTAGCCAATTGTGCAATGGAATAAAACCCACACTTTCTTTAGATTCTTGCAACTGTATCATATGTAATGGTATCACTTTTTCTACATTTTGGTCAAATAAATTTTTACAGAAACTCCCATTTGTGTGAATTTTGTTTCGATGAATGTTGTTAGTGGGGTAGCGAGGGGGAGATAACTGGGCCAAGAACTTTGCAGATGTTATTTATTTACTTTGTACCATGACTTCATGATAGAAGAATGAATGATCTCCCTGTTGCACATGAGAACACCTGGCCTCAGCAACTCAAAAGCTCTTGTCCTTTGTTATCCGCAATCCTGTCTGAGCAGGGCTGTGAAGAATGAGTAGGATTTTAATAGATGGTGAAGACAGGCAAGATGGGCTCACTGTTTGACTTAGGAAAGTGCAAGGCCTGCCCGGACAAGGTTTTCTATGTGTTGTACCCTAGGTAGAAAAGCTGGACGGTTGGCTGGATCCAAAATTGATAAGAGCTAGAATTTAACTTACTGAGGAGTAGAGACCCAAACTGAAGTAAACACATCAAGACATTAGGAAAATGCACTTAGCACCTATTTTCAGGTGGTGGCCTGTACAGACAGGAAGGCGTCAGGAAGATGTTTCAGTACACAGAGTGGTTGCCATGCAGTAAGAGGGAAGAAGTGATCAGAAGGAAGCAATCTTAAAATGTAGCCGACTTGATGGCAGGGATCTGAGAGATGAGAGTGTCAAAGTTGACTAGTTTCACTACCTGAATTGCTTTGATAATCTGGATAAAAGATCCAATCCAGAGAGGGAGGCAGAAAAATCAAAAAGAGGTATGAAAACCTTTTTAAAAATTAATGTGATATGGAAACAATCTTTTTGCGCTCAAGTACAATTAAAACATGTCCTTCATGTTAATTAAGCAGTAGTTGACAGCTTAGATGGAAGGTGGGAGCAATGTCCGATGGCAGTGTAACTCCCTCCAGTGTGAGCCCTACCATTTCTAGATTGAAGTTCCTCTTTTACGTCTCTCTTCCCCCTCCTCTGCACCCACTTTGGGTGTAGCCTAGTCTCTGGATACTGTTTTAGTCATCCTTGTACCTCAGCACTTAACATGAATGTTCCATGTTTGTTAAACTGACTTGTCCCAGCTCTTGGGGAGTTCCCAGTCCCATAAAGTGTGGGTGGAACACAGGGTGAGAATAGGACAAGGTAGTGAGAGGTATCATACTCGAAAGTATAGATTTTGGACTTTATCTTTATTGAGATCAATATTAGTTAAGTGAGTTAGAGTGAGCACACTGCAGGGTGGAATCTAGGCTAGGGAAAATGGCCAGGGAGACCAGTGGCAACCTGACTGTGGCAGTGGAAGAGCAAGACTCTTGAAAAATCAGGATGTGAGAGATGAGTCAAAAGGTAACTCCAGGTAAGTGAATGTGAGATGAGATTAATTGTGGACATAGTGAGTGTGAAGTTATCTTTGGCAAATCCAAAGGTAGATGTCAAGAAACTAGTTGGACATGGAGGGATGGTGAGCTATGGCTTAAGAAATGAGACTCGTCAGTGTGGAGGTATTAGAAGCCACCGGACTGAATGAGATCACCCAGAAATTGAGACCAGAGACAGAACCACGAGGAACATAAACATCTAAGGCACAAATAGAAATCTTCCAAAGAAGCAGCACCCAGAAATGGGGAAGCAGACACAATAGAAATAAAATCAGGGAGAGAACCAAGAAAAAATCACTTCCACAGTTAGTGGTTGAGTTGTCAAATACCTCAGAGGCTGAGGCTTATGAAGTGGTCAGTGGCTCTGGCTGAAGTTTTCTTAACCCTGAGTGAGGTCAGCGAAAAGATGAGCCTAGGAAGGGTGGAGGAGAGGCCAGGGCCATCTTCCAGAGAGCCTTAGGCAAGCCTCCAGGCCTCTCTGATGCCCTCAGTGTGACCTACAAGAGACTGGACCATCGCTGAGAGGCACAAACCCCAGTGGTTCCAACTTTGGTTCTCTGATGCTTGGTGGTTTGAATTCAAAAACTAACTTCCCACTTGAGAGCCTGGGAAAGTCAACCTCCTGTGGGCCTGTTTTCCCACCATAAGAAAAAAAAATACAAAACTATCATAAAACTTTTTTTAAAAAAGATTTATTTATTTGAAAGGGAGAGTTACAGAAAGGGAGAGATATCTTCCATCCGCGGATAGCTCTGGTTAGGTCAAGCCAAAGCCGGGAGCTTGGCTCCTCCCACGTGGGTGGCAGGGGCCCAAACACCTGGGCCATCTTTGGCCGCCCTCCGGGGCACATGAGCAGGGAAGTGGCTCAGAAGTGGAGCAGCCCCATACATTTTTTTTTTAAGTGTTGGTTACCACCGCCAGGCACAGACGCAACGCTCCTTAACGTGACCTAGAATTGCCGCCGCCCTGAGTCCCCGGGCGGGTGACTTGACCGCCTCAGACAGCCGGCTGGGTGTGAGGCTGACGAGGCTGGGGGGATGGACACTAGAAGCTGAAGGTGGCCGGGACAGCCTCTAATTAGGTCCGAGGGCGGGTCTCGCTTGAGGCGTCC